CTATACCATCTCCAAGGTCTAAAAATATTGTATCTAGGTAGGAGGCTACCTTCTATTCTGCAGTTCATCATCTTCCTCTAGTGGGTCAACATCCCCAATAACTGTTGCATGATCAATAAATCGTCTATTGGTAGTTCCATGGGATTGTTACTGCCTAAATCTATAATACAATTTTCTTTATTATGTTCTTCCGAATTTTGAATTTTAGGTTATTGTGAATAAGAAGAGAAGTTATCAGTAACATCAATTTTAATAGTAATGGACTTAATAATGGTTTAAGTCCACATGTTGTAGACCCTATAAGCTTGGCTATTTTTAGAATAGCCATTGATTAATCCCTCATCACTCTTTGGATCAAATTTCCCCAAATGTTCCTTGTCATTTAACACATAACACTTGCTTCCAAATGTGTGAAAATATTTGAGGTTTGGTTCACTACCTTTCTAGATTTCATAATGGGTTTGTGGTGGTACTAGTTCTCAATGACACACGANTATTTAAATTTGTAGTAGATATATTTAGACCCTGTTTGGCCCTCATTTTCGGGTATTGAAATTTTTTAGAATAGTGATTGATGGAGAATGTGTGGTAGAAAAGTAATGAAAATTCTAGATTTGTTTGTAATATTATTTTATTTGATGAATATGTTGTTGAAATGAAGAAATTGAAAAAATTAATGTGATGTAATGGAAAAAAATGGGGGCCAAACGGGGACTTAGTTTGTTTTAGATTTATTGAATTCAATGAATTAATGTTATAAAAGTAGACAGACAAAAAAAATATACAGCGAAATCGATGATTTAAAATCAGACCAAATCGTTTGGTTTAAGTTTTAGATTTTTTCACGGTTTGGTTTAAGTTTTCTCAAATCGAATTAAGCGGCTTGAAAATTTGTCAAAAACCAGTAAAATCGGACGACTCCCACGCACCACTTGATTTCATATTTGTAATAAATTACTTTCCATTGACAAAATCCGAGCTGAGATTTTTGTAATAAATTCATCCTTCTCAAAATTCAAGGCTAAATTGGAACAATAGCATAATGTGTAGGTTACAGTACACGAGGGGACTATAAATCATCAAAACAGTGGGGAAATGCAAGCGCGATTTGTCTAGTCCCCTCACTGTAGTCTTGGCGCCATCACACTGATTGCAGTAAAGATCAAATTTTTCAATTTGTCATCTGATTATTCTAGGTGATTGCGAATTAATTCATGTTTTATGTGTTAACGCAGATACTCGTTTGATGTTATAGAATTGTAAGTAGTGGTTAATGTTGATTGTCAATTTTGAAGTGGATTGTTTATGTTTTTGGTTGATTTTATTTGTGATTTTGGTTTTTAGCCTGAAATGGGTTTGCAACTTTATCGGTTTTACAGCGGGTTATGAACTCATGATTGTTGACCAGAGAATTTTGCTTTTTTATATTGTTGAGACTGGGAGGGAGGGTGTAAATTATGGATAGTTTTGCGTACTTGTTATCTGTGTCATTATATTTGGAATTCTCAAGTTACTAATTTCTTGTTTGGTGTAATGGATTTTTGAATTTCTTTAATTTTTATGATACAATTAGGATTCTCCTTTGCAATTTTCCTTTTTATTTATTTATTTATTTATATTTAATTTGTATCTTTTTTTCCTCATCAAAGAAATGACACCCTTTTTGCCCATATATTATTAGATTTTAATTGGTCGATCTTGTTAGAATATATGCAAGCTCACTTCCAGCTCCTGCAACACCAGCTTACACGATCAGCAGCACCTTCCAGTCAGCAGCACCTTCAGCAATAGCAGATCACGTTCAGCATGCTTATTGCCTTCTTCCAGATCCTTCTAAATTCACCAGCACATGTAGCTCCTTCTAGTTCCTTCCTTAGTTTGTTATATTGTTAAGTTTGTTAGATAGTTTGTTATATTTTTCTCTATAAATAAATTAGTGTGCATTGTAATTTCCTAAGTTGAATGGAATACATTCCTCTTCCC